TTGATTTTTGAATAGTGATATGATGGGAAATGTGTGGTTGAAAAAAAAGAAAAAAGTATTGATGTGATGGAAAATATTATTTTATTGAAGAATGTGTGGTTGAAAATGAGAATTGATTTACTGTAGAAAATGAGAATTTTTACCAAACAGGCTCTTAAAGTAAAGAAAAGAAAACATTGGTAGATGAACCGATATTTTATTAAACAACCAATTGAGAGAAAATATAATTTCAACAATTTTTGCTCTCAATAACTGAACGAAGAGTCTACTATTTATTGGATAGATATCCAAACCCAAGATGGAAATAAGATAAAAACAAATCGCGTGAAGTAAAGGAAAACATACTTTCCTAATATTTTTCCGATAAAACGCGTGAAATAAACAAAATAATATTTTTCCAAATACGTGTAAAGAATGAAAAACATATTCCCAAAAATTCCAATCTAATTTGGATTACAAAATCCAACAATCTCCACCTTGACATAAATTTTGGTGCAACTAACAAAACACCAAAATTTCTCCATCTGGAAAAATAAATTCGACTGCATCAAAATAAACCAATCTCTTCATTCAATACCAAAACACTTCACCTCTCGAAAAACATCACATTTACCTAGTGTCCACAAGCGACACTCGAACCCAACCCGGGGTTACCAAAATTCCAACAAAGAGTTCAACAAATACTAAACAGGGTCGAAGCATACCCTGTAGCAGAATCCATACCAAATGCTTAAACTGAAGACCCCTTGCTAGAACCGTCACTTTCAAACACCCCGAAAGCATGATCACATGCATCTGAAACCCGGTACCTATGCTCCATGAGTCCTCCCCTAGTAAATGACTCAGAACCCAACACGAAAGAAACTATACTAAACTGGATCTCTTCCACGGTACTAAATCTGTCTAGGCGTCTCTTCACTGGTTCTATGCGTCCCTACAGGATATACAGTTGAGAACTCTTTCGTCATGCCAACAAAACATGATGACCCCTTTGGACATTTAAGACTCCACCTCCACCGAAGAATGTGTACCCATTAGAATCCAGGGCACCCGATGAGATGAAATTCTTCCTTAAGTTTGGAACATGCTGAACTTGGCCAAAAACTCAAAATGTCCCATCCAATAACCTCAATTTGACCCAACCGATTCCAGCAACCCTATAAGATTGGTTGTTTCCCATGATAACTCCACATTGCTTCACCGTTTCATATATTTCAAATCAAGCCCTATTGGGACACATATGAAACGAACACGCTGAATCCAAAATTCACTCCTCATCTGGTTTAGATTCCATGTCAAATACGGTCAACACTACACCTTCGCCATCCGAAAATTTCTCGGCAATATTAGTCTTGTCCGAATGATCAGATTGCCTCCCATGATTTGCAGATAAATTACATTTACCATGCAACTTGTCGCAATCCTTCTTGATGTGTCCTTTTCTCCTACAGTAAAAGCAAATCTGATTGCTAAAGTTCACAATCGACCTACCCCTCAGTCGATCACTGTATGAAACTAGAGCTTCCTCATCCTTAACTCCAACGATATGCTTCATCTTTTCCTTTGAAAATAAAGCATCATAAGTACCGTCAATGGTGAGTGTGTCATGACTATACAAGATCATGTCTCTAAACGACGAATACAAAGCGGGCAATAAGCACAACAGGATCAAGGCAAGATCATCTTCATCATACTTGACTTCTAACGTTTCCATATCAACGACGATTTCCTTGAACATGACCAGATGGTCCTCTAAAGAACTCCCTTCTGCCATGCGATGAGAATAAAGCATCTGCTTCAGATGCAACTTACTCGTCAATGCCTTCGTCATGCACAATTGCTCCAATTTTAACCACAATGCAGCAGTTGATTTCTCCTTAACCACGTCCTGAATAGAAAGATGAACATGAATCATAGACAGCGCCTTTCGATCCTTCTGTTGCTTTTCCTTTGTTGTCCAAGTTGTTGACATTTTATCAAAACCCAATAGAGTATCGTCCAAATCCATCTGTGCCAATATTGCTTTCATCTTTACTTGCCACAGAGAAAACCCTGTATTGCGATCCAAAAGCGGAATGTCATACTTAATGACAGCTATTGAAACTAGAAATCTCAAATAAATTAAACATGTAGTTCTGATACCACTTGTTGGGACCATTTGAACCCACGTGTTGTGAAAAATCGAAAGAGGTTAATGGAGCAATATGATATATTGATCGCTCACCAAACAA